GTGTGCGCCACCACGCCCAGCTGATTTTTTTTGTTGTTGTTGTTCTGTATTTTTGGTAGAGATGGGGTTTCAACATGTTGCCCAGGCTGGTCTCAAACTCCTGGGCTCAGGATATCCACCCACCTCGGCCTCCCAAAGTGCTGGGATTACAAGGGTGAGCCACCATGCCTGGCCATACTTTGCATTACAAACTCATTTGTCTTATCATACGTACACTAGTTTTTAGAGAACAAAATTTACTTGGTCACTGATTGAAGGCTTTCAGATTAAAGCACAGTTGCAAACACACCGCTTCTGGACATTTCTCTCCATTCTATCCCCATACACTGTTTTTAAAAATAGTAAATTAGGCCAGGCGTGGTGGCTCTCGCCTGTAATCCCAGCACTTTGGGAGGCCAAGGCGGGTGGTTCATGAGGTCAGGAGTTCAAGACCAGCCTGGCCAAGATGATGAAACCCTGTATCTACTAAAAATACAAAAAAAAAAAAAAAAATTAGCTGGGCATGGTCGTGGGCGCCTATAATCCCAGCTACTCAGAAGGCTAGGGCAGAGAATTGCTTGAATCTGAGAGGCGGAGGTTGCAGTGAGCCAAGATCGCGCCACTGCACTCCAGCATGGGCAACAGAATGAGACTCAGTCTCAAGAAAAAAAAAAAAAGTTAATAGATAAGGAATTATAATTAAATCCAAATCCAATTTAACACAAAGACTTTTTAAAGGTTCTTCAAATACCTTGCTCTTTTTTCATCACCAGCCTGGGATGTTATCAGGCAACCCTAAATACGGTCAAGGCAAATATTGCATCGTTACTTAAGGTAAAGGAATTTGTAGTGATATTCACTGAGCGTTTTCATGCTGGGCCCCATGCCCAGTATGTGTGAAACAGGGATGTTGAGTAAATCATAGTCCTGCCCTCAAAAAGCTCTTGGGCTAAAGTCCTGCCCTCAAAGAGCTCTTGGCCTAAAGAGGGAGGCAGACCCGTGAGCCAATGAGCACAGTAGAGTAAGGTAAGTATTGTGATGTTTGTCAGCAAGAACAGGGAAGCCTAGACAGAGGACACTTATGACTAAGGTCTTGGCCGGGTGCGGTGGCTCACTCCTGTAATATCAGCACTTTGGGAGGTCAAGGTGGGCGGATCGTATGAGGTCAGGAGTTCAAGAGCAGCCTGGCCAACATGGTGAAACCCTGTCTCTACTAAAAATACAAAAATGAGTCATGTGTGGTGGCACATGCCTGTAATCCCAGCTACTTGGGAGGCTGAGGCAGAAGAATCTCTTGAACTCAGGAGGCAGAGGTTGCAGTGAACCGCCAAGATCATGCCGCTGCACTCCAGCCTGAGCGACAGAGCAACAACCTGTCTCAAAAAATAAAAATAAAAAAAATAAAGTCTTGTTTAAATACCTAACTGCAGGGGGGTGAGGGATAAGAGACTATACACTGGGTACAGTGTACACTGCTTGGTAATGAGCGCACCAAAATCTCAGAAATCACCACTAAATAACTTATCTATGTAACCAAAAACCACCTGTTCCCCAAAAACTATTGAAAGGTTTAAAAATAATACCTAATTGCAAAATCTTAAAATAACAAAAATGTAAAAGCAAAATTATCTACACTTCCATCATTTAATCAAATTGTTTCCAATTCTCCATCTTACCTTCTAATCTTTATACGTATACGTGCAATTATTTCATACATGCAATATTATGAAAGTAGTTTGAAAGTCCACCTTTTCACGTCTTATATCATTAGTATTTTTCCATTTCACTTTTTCTTCTTATTCCCACTTCATCCCCTTGAGATAACCAATATTCTACATCTTCTTTACCTTGATTGAATCACCCAATGGTAGGGTACCAGAATAATATTCAAAGCAGAACAATTGGGCCAGGCACAGTGGCTCATGCCTGTAATCCCAGCACTTTGGGAAGCTGAGGCAGGCGGATCACCTGAGGTCAGGAGTTCAAGACCAGCCTGGCCAACATAGTGAAACCCCATCTCTACTAAAAATACAAAAATTAGCCGGGTGTGGTGATGGACACCTGTAATCCCAGATATTTGGGAGGCTTAGGCAGGAGAATCGCTTGAACCCAGGAGGCAGAGGTTGCAGTGAGCCGAGATAGTGCCACTGCACTCCAGCCTGGGCAACAAAAGTGAAACTCCATCTCTAAATAAATAAATAAATGGCTGGGCGCAGTGGCTCACACCTGCGATCCCAGCACTTTGGGAGGCAGAGGTGGGTGGATCACGAGGTCAGGAGATCGAGACCATCCTGGCTAACAGGGTGAAACCTCGTCTCTACTAAAAATACAAAAAATTATTCAGGCATGGTGGCAGGCGCCTATAGTCCCAGCTACTCAGGAGGCTGAGGCAGGAGAACAGCGTGAGTCCAGGAGGCAGAGCTTGCACTGAGCCGAGGCCATGCCACTGCACTCCAGCTTGGGCAACAAAGTGAGACTCCATCTCATAAATAAATAAATAAATAAATAAATAGATAAATAATAAATAAATAGCAAAACAGGCCTAGATTCACAACTCCTCCACGGATCACAGCAGCAACGCTGTGTGAATTTTCTTTACTTAGCTACTCATGCACATATGTTCTTCATACTATTTTTTTCTTCTCTCCCTCCCGCCCCCCTATATATATAATACCCCAACTCACAACTTCCGCCTTTACTCATAGTTTCAGCTGCCTCATAACTCCTGCTCACACATGGGCCAACACAACCTTTCAATAACATGACATTTCAGCAATTCTGCCATCCTCCTCAAGCCCCTAATATCTCTTGGCTCTGTTTCTCAAGTTTACCTTTTCATGTCAGACATACTCACGGTCTCATCATCTATGACCTTGCAAGGAGGAAGAAAGGGGGATGTGGTGATATGATCTACAACTGCCCTTTTAACAAAGACAGCATTTTTTTCCTCCCTACGACAGCCTTGGCCATGACTCCCCTCACCGCCAAAGCCACTGCATTCCCTCACAAGGTTCTGCCTTGTTCACACACCTTGTAGGGCCTTTGAAAATGTTTACATGGTTAAATGCTCAATTAACTGCTAAGGAGTATACTAAAATTTCACATCTAAAAGCTTTTCTTGAGTCAGCTTCAGTAAGGAGGCAGGAAGAAACAATCCCTGAGTCCGTCAGACACAAAGGTGACTTACTCTAATGGATCCCAGACCTGCCAAGGCGTGGCCCCAGATGGTGCTATCTTCTCACACACGCAAGGCCAAAAATGGACCTCAGAGTCACATGTGCATCTAGGTCCCAGTTCTGCTGCTCACTGTGTGATCTTGAAGAGGTCAAAACATTTTTTTTTTTTTGAGACGGAGTCTTGCCCTGTTGCCCAGGCTGGAGTGCAGTGGCATGATCATGGCTCCCAGGTTCAAGCTATTCTCCTGCTTCAGTTTCCAAAATAGCTGGGATTACAGGCACCCACTACCACACCTGGCTAATTTTTGTATTTTTAGTAGAGACGGGGTTTCACCGTGTTGGCCA